GGCTCGTGGGTGTTTCTTTACTGCACCGACTACGTTGTAATGGCTGACGCAGGAGTGCTGGGGACGACGCTCAAAAGAGGAGGGAGGCTATGTAATACGATAATCTATATTTTCAAGATCCTGCACATTAGCAGGCAATTTTCGCCCCATCGACATTCCTGCTGAGATGAAGCACTACATTGGGAGGAGGCTTGATGCAGTCAAATACGATATCAGAACTTCAAGAGCTGAGGACGGATGCCAAAAGGCTCAAGGGAAGCGTGGCGCTAAGGCCGAGTTAATCCCAGCGATAACGCACCAAAGCCTAATTTAAAAAACAGGTTCACAACCCACATTCTAAGCTGCTAAAAGTAATTATGGTTGTCAAAAGAGAAGCAACAGAAGGGGACGTTCCTCCGAAATTCATTACACTAAATGTATCGGCATTTCGGCAGGTGTTCCTGCGGAAAGTGATAGGGGTTACCTTGGTCGAATAGTTGCCACGTAAATGGGCTGGAAGGGAGGGAGTGGGTGACTCCATGACTCCGAGGTAGATACTTAACTGTGAAGTTAAGTGTAGTGCTAATGCGATTCGGGATGTCACACTGAAAATTGTTTTACCAGACTGTACAAAAGAAGATGGATTCAATAAGTTCGAATTAATGACTTCGAGAGACTAGGCATCACTCCAAGGAGATGTGTGACTACACCACCTCATACTTCGTGCTGGTCCTAGATGAGTACGCAAGGAGAGAGAAAATAAAATACCTATAATCGGTGTGCTAGTTGAAATTTAGTGAACAGTGAGAAAGGACACATTGTGCATTCTTTACTTGACATATCCCATGGGGTAAAACCAGCTCTTACGTTAACTTGCGAAATGACCTGCTTTGTGCGTATTCTAACAAGGGAAAATGACCTAATAATAGCCCCAATTTTTTCGTATGGTAAGGTTATCGTTAGCGGCTAATCGTAGTGGAACATTTGTACAGATGATCCAATCGACTCATTCGTATCGTTGAGGCAAGTGATGGGTGTTGTATTGTTACACTTCTTCTGAACAAGAAATTGAATTTGCCGAAGAGCAGTAGAGAAATGTCTCCCAAGCCCAAACGCGTTCGGCTATAATATGGCAGATTTAGAGGTGCTTTGAGGTACAACTGGTCTTAACGGTATCAGCGTCGCATACGTGTGATGCCTCAGTTCTGCTGCTACATCTTGCACGTCACATATGTGTGACACATGCAAGACTAAGATGAGCAAAAGAGCGCTGGAAGCTTATTTGCATAATAAAAAAATAAGTTTTGGCGATCACTTTTCCTCTCGAGAGAGTTCAGAAGGACGCAAAACGCTTGAGCACGAATTTTTCATAAGACAACTTCAAAAACGATGCAACATTGGAAGTAAATTGCAGTTTAGTGCCCACCTAATCCAAAACGAGCAGGTAATTAAACAACTCAAGTGTCATCTTGGCGTTTACCTTGGTCAATCTTCGGTGCATCATAGGTCATGCCTTCGAGTCAACCGCTCCGATCATCAAATTCGGGTGCAAATGAGAACATGTTTGACCGCTACTTCACCAATCTCTCTTGGCAATACTGCCAGTTCCGGCGTTTTGTTTCCCTTGAGAGCAGTATTGGGGAAAGCGGGAATATGCCGGACACCTTGCACGCCCAGCGCCAGTCATGACAAAACTAGTCCAAAAGCAGAATTA